TTTTTACCTCAATGCATTTTAATCTTATTCTCAACTCATTTAATCTTGTTCTCAACAGCTTTAATCTTGTTCTCAACACATTTTAATCTGATTTTTAATATATTTAATCTTTACCTTAATGCAGGAAATTGTCACGTTCTGAGACAATAGGGAGCAATTAGTGAGGTAAAAATGAAAAATGGAATAGCACCTCAACTAGAAGAAAAAACAATTGTGCGGTTGATCCAAAATTCATAAAAAAAAAAAAAAAAAAAAAAAAAAAAAAAAAAAAAAAATCAATTATCATCTAAACGAGTCAAACTGACATTCTTTAGGATGTAGAAAATTTACCAATGAAATCAATTTTTAGAAGAAAAAAAAAAAAAAAAAAAAAAAAAAATTTAATTACTTTTTGTGTACAAAATTTACCAATGAAATCAATTTTTAGAAAAAAAAAATAATAATAATTACTTTTTGTGTATTGAAATTAAACCGTGTGACAAAATTTAGCTGTGGTGATAATTTATAGTTGAGGAATAAAAGTGGCAAAAATAAGAATTAAGGACGTTGAGTTGAGAGAAAAAATGGTGAGAACAAGTTTTAAGAGCATTGAGTTGAGGGGAAAAGTGGTGAGACCAAGATTTAAGGAGGTTGAGTTAAATAACAAATGTGGTGATAACAAGATTTAACAGCATTGAGTTGAAAATTAAATGGAAGTATAAAAATTCAAATGATCACATTGAAGATTTTAGTAGTTTTCATTGTGGTGAAAAATACGTAGTTATTTTTAAAATTAAAAAACATTAAATATTATTTTTTAATGAGTTCAAAAAAAAAAAAAAAAAAAAAAAAAAAAAAAAAAAAAAAAGGTGCGAAAAAAACTACAGTTATACCGACACAAGACCATGTATATGGTTTGGGGTTGAATTTGTCAATTTAGCGTCTTTTGGTGAAAAACCAGATGGATTTAAGGGATATGAATGGATTGATTCGTTGATGAAGTGAGGTTGAGTTTGTTGAATTGCAAAGATGTGTTGAACGGTAATGGTGAATTGAGGAAGTGCACTGTGTAAAAGAAAAGATGGACCTTGATTTGGATTTGGAAGAGATCAGAAGAGACCAAGAGAAACTTGATTATGATTACTGCCAGTAATTGTTTTAGTATCCAAAGATAGAGGAGAGGGTGAAGAGAGAGAAATATATAACACTACTCATATAATAATAGAAGTGAAAGTTAACGCCAAACGGAAGAAAACGGAGAAAGAAAACAATATGCAAAACGCTGCCGTATCTTGGTACAGCACGGGTACAGTACTATTCGACTACGGCAGAGGATCCTTGAAAATTATTTTACGTCCGCCTAAGTGTTGCATATTTTATGCAAATGTATTCCATACATGAATGGTACATTGTTATGGTATGAATATATGTTGTTATGTGACTTAGCATGCTATATTATGATGATGATTTAGACCCTTAAAAAAAAAAAATTGGAGTGGCAAAGTTATCGAAAAAGAAAAAAGGGAAAAAGAAAAGCTCGGCTAGCTCTATCTTTGAAAAGAATCTTCTATCAATCATAATTCTAAGGTGCAGCAATGGGAGTCTTCAAAAAAAAAAAAAAAAAAATGTAAAAGAAAAAGAAAAAGGGAAAGAGATTGGAAAGCAAACTATTATCATCGTAATGCTACTTTCGTTAACCACGAGGTAAATCAAATATCTTTCACATCCAGCTCCACCGTCATCTTATCTTCTCTCTCTCCTTTATTATGATTCTATGTATGTATTTATATTTGTATAGATGTATGCTATATAATGACAGCAGATTTGTAGAGAAAGCGTTCCAAGAAACAATGTATCTTCGATGGCTAAATACTTGACATGTATATGATCATACATAATAATTTAAAATTCACATAAATCTCTCAATCTGGAAGAAGATTATCAATATCAGATATTAGAGGTAAAGTGAAATGTGATCATTTTCATTTTCTTTGTTTTTTATAATTCTCATTTGGATGAATATGTCTAAAGAAAATTTGAACATGTTCAATTGAGGTTACAATCACGTCGAATAAGTTCAAGGAGAATTTGAACAAGTCCAACTTCATGGGAACATTGCATGCACACCTAATTATTTTATATATTTATTTTTTATTTTTTATTTTTTGAAAGACCAGATTTTATATAAAAAAAAAAGAGGACCAACCAAAGGCTAGCCCAATGCTAACCAATGCCGCCAAACAATAAAACCCAAATTTACAACCTTTAAGACAGACCAACAGCCAAACAAACATTACAGCCCAATTACATCGCAAAAAAGGAAGTGACCTAAGGCCGAAAAACTATGCCCAAACGTAGAGAAGACCGGTGGAGGCGAACACTGCAGCGAGGCACATGGAGAAGATCATCTCAATCACGAACATACCAAAATCCTACTTACCTTATTATATATATATATATATATATATATATATATATATAATAAAAAATAAATAAAAACCTTCAAAAACTTGTTTTTTCTTATCATTTTTATATCAAAACTCAGATTATTTATGTGTATATGCATGTGTCAAACAGCAAAACCGACCGATTGTAAAAATCAACTAAAATACAATCACATACTCAACAAATTGTTGTGTGCTTGTTGCTTTATAATTACAAGTTTTTTTTTTTTTTTTTTAATAAGGACAATATTTAGGTCCTCCTCTGGAAGGATGAACTTCATCCTCCAAATGAGAGTTAGGTATAAAAACAATTGTGATTCTTTTGGAAGGACAAAAAATAAACTCTAGAATTCGGTTTAACCCCTAAAACATAAGTAATAATTATTTTTAAAAATTTTAAAATTCTAAATATATGTCTAAATTGTATTAGGCCACATTATTTAAGAAAATGAACTTTATCTTCCGAAAAAATGACAAGTATTATCCTTTTAATAATTGAGTTTTCTGTGCGGATCCAAGAAGGAAGTCATAGACTTTGCTTGTCAAATAAGGAAATGGGGGTGATGGGACGTAGTCAGGTAAAAAGACTTAGGTGACAAGGAAATGGTGTTGTTGGAATATTTCATAAGCATCTGCCCGACCTTTTTTAAGTTCAGAAGACCGGATTAAGGAACTTCTCCTATGCAAAATTAGATCATCTGCGGTTTAGTGTATTTAAAACAATAACCTAACAATTTTAAATTAACAATGCAACAATTACATACAGGTATTAAAATCTTAATTTAATAATATTATAACATTGCAACAAGACATAATTAATATGTTAGTGTACATTATTGATGCAAATGTATTCCATACATGAATGTTACATTGTTATGGTATGAATGTTGTTATGTGACTTAGCGTACTATATTATGATGATGATTCAGACGCTTTAAAAAAATTGGAATGGCAAAGTTATCGAAAAAAAAAAAAAAAACAAGGAAAAAGAAAAGCATGGCTAGCAATGGAGTCTTCCATGTAGTACTTAAAAAATATATATATATGTATATATATATATATGTAAAAGAAAAAGAAAAAGGGAAAGCAAACTATTATCTTTGTAATCCTACTTTCCTTAACCATGACGTAACTCAAATATCTTTCATATCTAGCTCCACCGTCATCTTATCTTTTCTCTCTCCTCTATTATGATTCTATGTATGTATTTATATTTGTATAGATGTATCATGTATGCTATATAATTATAGCAGATTTGTAGAGAAAGCATTCCAAGAAACAATGTACCTTGGCTATATGATCAAACGTACTAATTTAAAATTCACACAAATCTCTCAACCCAAAGAAGATTCAGTATCCATATTAGAGGTAAAGTGAAATGTGATCACTTTCATTTCATTTCTTTTTTTTTAATTCTCATTTTCATTACAAACTTATGTAGCACGGACACAAACACGAAATACGAATACGTCAATACGCCAAATTTTTAAAAAATAAAACACGAATATGGCTTGTTATATTGAGTAATAGTATTATAAAAATTAATTCATTTCTAATTTTTAAATTAAACTGAGAGTTGTAATGATTTTTATATATTTCACTACTATGTCATAATAATATTTTTATTTTAAATGAACAAATATCATAATGTCAAAATTTCAAGTTAAACACTTTAGAATGTATTTATAATATTTTTAAGATTACCGGATAAAATTGTGTTAGAAATGTTTGAAAGTGTCTGCCTAAGTATCCAAGAAATGTCGGCAAAGTGTCTGCAAGTGTCGAAAAAATGTCCAAAATAATAAAAATTATTTTAATTTCAGGACATGTATATGAAGTGTAGACACGTGTCCGAAGAGTATCCGACACGGACACAACAAAGGTACGGCTCCTTCGTAGAAATGTCCGTGTTTCATTGACAAATACTACAAGTGTGTGTTTGGCTGTATGAAATTGGAGCCTTAAAATTAAAATTTGTGAAATTTGAGAAAATTTTGATTCAATTTTCTTAGTTGTTTTTCTCAAATTTTAATAATTCCAATTTAAATTCCAAAACTCCAAGTAACGAACACATCCTAAACATATTTGGTTTTGCCAAAAAGGGCAATTTTTGTGATTTCCAAACTAAAAATCCTAAAGTCATCCCTTAAATTCTACCCTACTTAATTATTAACATTTTGTAATTCTGATTGATTAATTGGTAATAGTTATACATTCAATCAATCCCAAAAATCAATCAAGTTACCGTTGTCACACTTGTAGTTCATTAAAACACTGTTTTGAACTTAATTAATTAAACTGGAATAAAAAATTATTGAAAAAAAAAAAAAAAAAAAAAAAAAAAAAAAAAAAAGCAAGCTTTTGAAAAGACAAGGACCTCTCTAAAGAATCTTTTATCAATCATAATTCTAAGGTGCAGCAATGGGAGTCTTCTGCGTAGTACTTAAAAATAATAAAATAATTAATATTGTAAAAGAAAGAGAGAGAGATTGGAGAGCAAGCTGAACCTTTTATCAATCACAATTCTAAGGTGCAGTAATGGGAGTCTTCCTTGTAAAACAAATATATATATATATATGTAGAGAGAGAGAGAGAGAGCGCGCGAGAGAGGAGGAGATTGGAGAGCAAAGCTGAACTTTGGAATTTGGATCAATACATAAAACCTTTCTGGTACCCTAAATGGAGAGTTAGGGTCCAAAGAGAGAACTAGGAGGAGATCAAGAAGACTCAGTAATATTACCAGGTAAGTAGTATTCTATTTTCTAGTCTTTGAATAAATTTAATTAATTAATGACGTTTGATTGCTTTAATTCTTGATATTGAGTTGCGGATTTGAGAAACCCTAGTAACTTTTCACAATTTAGGATGTTCAATTTTGGGCACTAAGTAGTTAGATTTTTAACTCTATAATTTAGGATGGCCTAAATTTGCTGGTTGGTGCATTGGGTGCTGTTAGAGTTCTGACTCATTAGAAACATGAGTTAGGTGGGATTTAGATTGTGTAGTCGTTTAATTAATTTGAAAAGTGGCTCTTTTAGGTACAAAAGCTTGGAGTATAAGAGCAACTCATCAGTGCTCTTTTTGGCGAAATTGGGCCAATCTATTTTTGAAGATTGAATGTTCTAATAGATTATGGAAAAAATGGGCCCCAAAGAATGACTCTTGACGGAAATAGTTAGAAAGCAAGATTGGGTTGGTGATTGGGCTGACTTTTTGTGAGTCCATTTTTGTTTTTTTTTTTTTATTTTTTAAATTCAGGCCAGAATACTATTCCTAAGGGTATGTTTGGCTGAAATAAAAGTTAAAATTCAGATTTTTGGCTTACTTTAGTCTCTTCTTCTTCTTCTTTTTTTTTTTTTTTTTTTTTTTTTTTTTTTAAAAAACAAAAAAACCAAAGAGCCATTAAGGCACTGTTTGGCTGACACAAATAGTACCTTAAATGTTTTTTTAGGCAAAAAAAAGTTTTAAAAAAATTAGAAAAAGTGATTTTTTTTTTTTAAATGTTTTGAATGTTCCTATTGACATTATAGCCGTTGGGAAAAAGTTAAAAAAAAAATGTTATTTTAAATATTAAAATATTAATATTTTTAGAGAGCGAAAGTGCACTATTGGAGTACATGCGATAACTAAAATTTAAAAACTCTAAAATACTGACGCGACTATGGAAAATGTTTATGTGGCTATTGAAAAATGCTGATGTGACAAATTCGAAGAACCTAATTTTAGAGAGTGTATTGGAGATGCTCTAAATTACTCATAATTCGTCAAGTTCTTCTATTTTGTGCAAAGCTAAGTTAGGGGGATTTGGTGATCGATTCAAATTATGCAACCCCAAATTTAGCATGTGAATTGCAGACGTCCTCTCAACAGTTCCTCTAATGGTTAGAGAGAGAAGGCTGGTTTCTGTTGTTTGTTAGAGAGAGAGAGAGAGAGGGCCGTTTGCAGTAGTTGGTTAGAGAGAGAGAAATGGAAAGAGAAGAGGGAGGGTAAGCAGAGAGAAATGGAGAGAGAAAAACAGGTTTAACCCGTATAAGTCGGTGTTACCCATATTTTTATGATCAATAATGCATAAGCATTAACGAATTGGCGATGATCACGCACACAAATACTCCACAACTCTATCAATCCTATCGATGTTTATACTTATGCCGAATGTCATGATCCTCATTTAACCAATTCTCATGACTCTTAACTAATGTGTATGCACCTCAACAACTTATCCAACCCAATCTCACAAACCATATCAATATTAACTAATCCAACCCAATCTCACAAACCACATCAATATTAATAAATTGCGTAAATAAAAAATACTCCCTCTGTCCCAAAATAATTGGGATGTATTGGAATTCCAATTTTTTTCCCTCTGTCCCAAAATAGTTAGGATGTATTGGGATTCCAATTTTTTTATGAAAATGTACTTAATAATGAGTGAAGTTTCATTTTTAACCTTATAAGGTGGTAAACAAGTAAATGAAAAGAGGTAGTTTAGTGATATGATGAAAAATAATACATCTATTTTTGGAAAGGGATATGTATTTCGGGACATTCCAAAAAGGAAGGGTAGACAACTATTTTAGCATGGAGGGAATATCTTTTTTTATAAAATATATTCATGAAAAATTAAAAATTACTTAAATTATTTCAAAATTTTCTACTTAAAATTTTTATTTAAATAATTATTTTCAAAAATAAAGGCAAAATTATGCAAATTTAGTGCAGAAAATTTCATCAAATTAGTATAATTTTTTTCATAATTTATTTCAAAATAAAAAAACAAATCAGGTATAATTCAGTAAGAAATGATATTATAGTCATTTAATGAAAGGGGCATTTTGTAACTAAATGTCATATAGTAAAATGGCTTTATACACAAAAAAAAAAAAAAATATAAAAATAATAATAATAAAAAATAAAATAAAATAAAATTGAGAGAGATTATTTACAAATTTAAACATCAATCAAGAGTTTTTTTTTTTATATATATTTTCACTTTATCCAGCTTCACAGTCGTTTGAATAACTTTGAACTCCCATGTGTCCCATTTTACTTTAAATTTTTAATGTGGCGGTTGGTATTCCATCAGCCAAAAGAACGGCTGTCAGCACGCCACGTCACTAGAAAGCAAGTCCACTAAAAAAAGCAAGCGAACATTTAAAATCGAAAGTACCTTTTTGGTTCAAAACAAACCTTTGAATCAAAAGTTTATTGGACAGTTTCTCACTCTCTTCAAACTCTGCTTTGCAGTCACCGGCTAATCGCTCTCGTCTTTCTCACCCAACTCAAAATGATATCCCAAGGTATGTTTTCCTACTCATTTTTCTTTTTCAATACCCTAACATGTAATTTCAAAACCCTAATTTTCTCTTCGTTTGGTTTATTTATCAATGCTTTTCTCACCCTCTCTTTCTCTAATTTTTTCTTCTCATCCTTTCCAAAATTTCGAAACCCTAATTTCTGTTTTCAAAACCCTGATTTCCAGTCCTCTTCGCCTATGTATCTTTACCCTAATTTGATATATATCAAAAAGAGTGTCTCTCTATATATGATGTGAATATACTAGTGATTTTTGGTATTTTGTTTTGCTGTGTTCAATGTATAGAAGAAGTTTCAAGATCACTAAGAAATGTTCAACCAGCTGACTACATATTCAAGATAGAGTCTTTCTCCTTACTTTCGGAAACAGAGTTTGAAAGTTATGAATCAAATGATTTTGAAGCTGGTGGTTATAAATGGTGGGTTTGGATTTCTCTACTTCTTTCAATTTTGTCCTTGTTATATCCTCTTTAAAAATAAGCTGCTAATAGATATATTTTCATGTTGTGTGTTTGGGAGCACCAAATTTGCACCTTGAAATTGGAATTGAAGGAAATTATGTTTAAATTTTAAAATAATTTCTTTCAATTCCAAATTCAAGGAGCTGTTTGGGCGATCCCAAACATAACATCAATTTTCTTTTTGGGTTTTCAGGAGATTGTCTTTCTATCCGAATGGGAATAAGAAAAGAAATGTGGAAGATCACATCTCATTTTACCTGCAAATAGCTGATACAGATAATCTTCTTTCTCCTTGTTGGGAGGTTAATGTAAATTTCAAATTATTTGTTTATGATCATATCCGCGACATGTACTTAAGCGTCGAAGGTAATTTCTTCACAACACAACTTTTTCTACAAATTATTCTCCCGTTACAATATGATATTTGTATTTATTTATACACATCTATGTATACATGTAGATGCTGGACAAGTAAGGCGCTTTCATTGGATGAGGACTGAAAATGGTTTTGACCGTTTTCTTTCACTGGATACATTCAAAAATGCTTCAAATGGGTACCTCGTGGATGATTGTTGTGTATTTGGAGCAGAGGTTTTCGTTATTAGAAACACAGGCAAAGGCGAGTGTCTGTCCATGAAAAAGGAACCATATTACAAAACCAGCTACACTTGGAGGGTTGGTGATTTTTTAAACCGAGAATGTCTTAACTCCAATGTGTTTAAAGCCAAAGAATGGAACTGGTAAGAGTAAGAGCTCTTTCTTTTCTATGAAATTATGTTGTTTTCAACTGAGATAGATTTGCATGTTCAATTTTGGGTGGAAAAACGACGTTTTATTTTGACACCTGAACTCATATTAGTAGGTTTTTATAGTCGGCTTATTTACTCAGCTTATACGCCATCATTATTCAAATTCTAATTTTACCTATAGAGTAATGATTAGGAGTCTGATAATGTATTACTATTAGACTAAAATTATGTGAGTAAGATGACTTCATGATGACATTATCATATTTAAGGACTTAATGATGATGTCATTCATAAAATAGTTAGATACATCCGACATTCCGATTTTTAGACTATTTATCATTATTCTTAGTTATAATATATGGTTTTTTTGTATTGAATTCAGGAGGCTGCAGCTCTATCCCAAAGGAGATGAAACGACGGATGGCCAATGTGTATCCCTTTATCTTAAAGTTGTTGATTGTGAAACGCTTCCTGTGAATTGGAAATTGTATGCAAAATGCAAGTTGAGGATCAAACGCTACGATAACATCTATGAAAAAGAAGGTGAAAACTTATTTGTCTATTTCTTGATAAATTGACATGCATCTGATAACTATTTGTAGTTTTTGTTTTGCTGAACAGCTTTCGTTTGAAATTCTCTTTGCAGTTTATTGCTGTTTTCGTGCCTCGTGTGATCGTTGGGGTTTCCGGAACTTCATGCCGAGTAGCACGCTTGAGGATTCGGTAACAAAGTTACTTGGAGGCAATGAAATAACGGTTGAAGCTGAAATTGAAATCTTGTCTGTGATTAAGAATTTAACATAAAAAAAGTTCATATTACCTTAAGAATTGAGATACTCTTCTTGAACTGTTGTATTTGTCTATGTATATATATATATATATATGTATGTAACAAATATGAAGTGGTGTGTCGGGATTCATCATTTCTATCTTTACTCAGTTACAATAGTAAACTTCCCTGCTCTTTGCTATTCTCATATTCTATTTTTTAATAATCATTTTCTTTCATGAGGCAATGACATTTCTCAAAATGCAACAAAGAATATACAATTTAATGATAACAACATCTCGCAAAATTTATCTTTACTAGAGTTCATAGTGATTTAAATAGGTTAAAACATAATTTACTATTGTTCATAGTGACTCCATATAGATATAATTACTTAGAATGTTACTTAATTTAATTGACTCACTCTTTTAATTTTAAAAATAGATTGAATTCATTTTATAAATTCTGTCTAATTTATTTATTTATTTTTTATTGAATTGAACTAAAAATAAAAATAAAAAGTCATTATTTGATAGACTTCTACTTAAACTCTCTCTCATTTTGCATATACTTTTTTATTTTTCTAAAATTCTTCTAACTTGTTATTATATATGACTAGCGGGCTTCACATATGCATCAAATTAACTTGCATTGGTAGTCAATTTTAATCAAGCACTATACAACAGGCATAGATCTTGACTAGTGAGCCTCAAAGAAAATCAAGGAAACTGTTTGCTATCTCTTCCCATTTACCTTTTTTTTTTTTTTTTTTCAATCATGCTTAGGGAAAATTGTTGATTAGTAATAAAAAGAGTTTTTTTTTTTTTTTTAATTTTATATTTATCCAAATAATCAGACCGAAATAATGCCCAAAATATTCAACACACTGCATGATATATACTAATCATTACAATCATCATCCCTTTCTGTCACATGCACAACTTCGGTGGAAAATTTATTTGAGACAGTATCCATAACTATAAATGTTTCAAAAACAATATTATATTCGATACCATGGAAATTTTTTTAATAACTGGATAATATATAAAAATAAAATAAAACTAATTACATAAATACTTGGGACACAAGGCCCTGACCACAAATGGGCTAGAGACCAAAAAATATCTATATATATATAAAGGTGGCCATAACTAGGTTAGGAAAAGGAGAAGAAGAGGGGGTTTAAGATTGGGTGGGATCAAAAAAGGAATTGGGCTCCATAAATTTTTGTTTTTCTTATGTAAAATATTTATTTTTATTTTTTTTGGTATTTGATAAAGGTTAAAATCGAGTTTAGGGGTCAAATTTATCAAATGGAATTTGTAAAATAACTTGACGAAAACTGTGATTTGGGCTTGGATTTCTCAAGTCTGTCTTAGGCCTATCCAAAATCATGGGCCGAGCCCACTCTATTTTGGAGTTTTAGAGATCAAAAAGCAGGAGAGAAAATGGAAATTGGATTGAGAGATGTTTTTTATTATTTTTTAAGTTTGGGGGTTGAGGGTGAGGTCAGTCAAACTTGGCTTCCTAACACCAGAGGGGAGTGCCCTGCCATTGGGCCACCAGCTCACCTGATAGAGACATGCTATCAGATAAGTTTTTGGACAAAAAAATGTCTTAGAACATCATAAAATATCATAGTATCTTCAATAATTTGTTAAAAAATTCTTTTGTATACACATATGATGTGTGTTTATATCTATTAAGATAAAATGTCAAGTTACTAATGTGTAAGAACATTTCCAGTAGTATGTTAAAATATCATTTTGTATAAAATATACATTGGCACATATGATATGTAATTTTATTTTATTTATTTATTTATTTATTTTATGTCTAGCAGTGTGTTAAGATACACCGCCATGTCACCGATGCGTAAAATTGTTGTATATTTTGCATAATTTTTTTAGACAGCCACATCAGCACATTTTCTTTTTCATCCCTATTTTACATCCCATTAAAAAATTAACCCTATATTAAATAGGCTCGTAAAATTTATGTGGATCTGGCATGACACGTGATTGGCTGTTATTGGGGATATATTTTTAAAACAAAAGATATAAAACAACTGCTGGAGTTAAAAATGAATAATCCAAAATTTTTGTGCAAATCTATCATGACATATCAGACTTACACAATATACACACACACACACACACACACACACACACACACACACAACGGTTGGAGATACTCGAAAATTGTTGTGTATTTTCCACAATTACATCAGCATATTTCCTTTCTCCTCCCTTTTTCTCATTTCATTAAAGAGTCAACCCTATATTAAGTAGGTTTGTAAAAATTATGTGGGGTCCAAGCATTACAATAGTTGGTTGTTATTGGGGGATAAATTTTCTTACAAAACGTATAAAACAACAGTTGGAGTTAAAAATACATAATTTTTTTTTTTTTTTTTTTTGTGTAAATTATTATGACACATCAGATTTACAATATATATACACACACACACACACACACACACACACACACAATGGTTGGAGATGCTCTCATTAATATACACGGTCATGTATGCACACACACACACACACACACACACAATGGTTGGAGATGCTCTCATTAATATACACGGTCATGTATGAGATTGATAGTGTAATTTTTTTTTTATCTACAGCAGTATGATACACTGCCGCGTCACCAATGTGTAAAATTGTTGTGTATTTTACTCAACTTTTTTACACAGTCACAACATATTTCATTTTTCCTTTCTCTTTCTCATTCCATTAGTCTTCACGTTTAACTAGATAGAATCAACCAGAAAAGAAAAGAAATAGAAAATTTTAAAACTTTTTTATAGCTTGGTTAGTTAGAAAAGGAAAAGTTCAAGAAAATTAGGATTCTTTTAACCATTTGTTTTCTCCATTTTCTCCAAAATGTTTCCTTCACAAAACACAGGGAAATTTTATTTTTCACGTGGAAACACGTCTTTTTATTTAGTGTTCCTATTTTACCCAACAATTTCATTAATATTATTTTACTTAACAACTTCTTTTTATATTTGAATAGACCAACAATTTTTTACTAGGTTTCAAAGAAATGGAGTACACTAATAACTTTATCATTGATAATTTTTTAATTAACTTGACTTCCATTCTTAGTTGTTTTTCATCGCATATGAATAATAGTAATTCAAAATGTCTAAATTAATTGAAAACATTATCATTTTTTAAATTTATTTTATTACTAATTCTTTATTATTTTATAAAATAAGGGTAATTTAGGTATCCAAACTATAATGATATTTTTCTACAATTTTCTTGAAGAAATTTTCATCTTAAGAAAATAAATATTAGAAAATAAATTTTTCTTTTCATTCACTTCACTTTTCTTTTCATTTTCCATTTCTTTTCCTTTCTTACTATTTCCATCTAACCAAACAGAGTCTTAAAGAATTAACCTTATATTAAGTAGGCTTGCAAAAATAATGTGGTCCTCATATGATATTTTTACACAAAAGGTATAAAAACACCCTATAAATAAATAATTCAAAATTTGAGTATAAATCTATGGCAAATATATATATCTATACTATTATTAAATGTACAAAGTGTTTCAGTGTTTCAGTATTTATTTATTAATTGATATAAATTCTATAACACTCAAAATTACCTAATAAAATTAAATTTTAATTCAAATTAACAAAATATAAAAAGAGTTTAATTCAAATTATAAAGTCCTACATTGGTTTTAAATAAAAAGGATTACATGAAAGCCTCTTATAAAACTATAGAGGTAAAGAAATAATAATCACACCTTCTCGGCTTTTAGGCTAAGATCAAGTACAGTACTAAATTTTTTTGAGTCGGCCTTTTAGCTAACCTTTCTTGGTCTTTTGGCTAAGATCAAGTATAGTACTACTTTCTCAGCCTTTGTGCAAAGAGTTTCAGTATTTATTTTTTAATTGATACAAATTCCATAAAACTCAAAATTACCTAATAAAATTCAAATTAACAAAATAGAAAAAGAGTTTAATTCACAATAAAGAACTCTCATTAATTATTATATCCCGCGATATAAATTATATAAAACTCAAAATTAACTAATAAAATTAAAATTCAATCTATAATCATAAATTAACCTATTTATCTATTTAGTATTATGAATATTTTTAATAAAAGAAATCTAATTAGACAAGAATTATTAATATAAAATATTTATTAATTGATATATAAAACAAAATAATTTTTCTAAAACTCTACCATAAATTAGCTTTTATTATGAGTTTCTTAGTAAAATTAAATCTAATTAGACAAGGATATATACCTAAAGAAAATAAAATAATTTTTATAAAACTCTATCACAAATTACCTATTCTATTTTTAATAAAACTATATCACACCAAACAAAGATATATTTAAAGAGTTTCTATAAAACTCTAAAACAAATTACCTATTTATCTATCTATTATGAGTTTTTAAATAAAAAGAAATCTAATTAGACAAGTATTATTAATATAAAAAATTATTTATTATTGATATAAAAAGAGGTTTTAAAAGAGTTTCTATAAAACTCTAACACAAATTACCTATTTATTATGAGTTTTTTAATAAAAATAAATCTAATCAAACAAGAATTATTAAAATAAAAAATATTTATTAATTAAAAATTACCAAATAAAATCATGCAAAGTGTTTCAGTATTTATTTATTTATATAAAAAAATATTTATTAATCGATATAAAAATAGTTTTTATAAAAATAATTTCTATAAAACTCTAAAAATTACCTAATAAAATCAATCACATTCTATATAAAACTCTAATTTTTAGTTTAATATAAAAAGAATAGTTATTTTTTATAGATAATTATCACAATATAACTGGCCCGGCCCAGTTATGATTATGTAATTATCAAAAAAAGGACACATGTCATAATCTTATTAATCCAAGAAGCTTATAAATAGAGGCATGGATGAAGGAGGAAAGGGTACAGAAATTCAGAATTTCAGAGTAAAATACAGAAACTAAACTCTGCCAAAGAGTTTCAGTATTTTAGTATTTATTTATTTATATAAAAAAATATTTATTAATTAATATAAAAAAAGTTTTTATTTATACTATTATTATATGTGCAAAGAGTTTCAGTATTTAAGTACAAATTACATATTTATCTATTTATTATGATTTTTTTTAATAAAATTAAATGTAATTAGACAAGAATTATTAAAATAAAAAATATTTATTAATTAAAAAT